TGCTGGTGCTGCTGCTGGAGCTGCTGCTGGAGCTGCTGCTGGAGCTGCTGCTGGCTGCTGCTGGAGCTGCTGCTGGAGCTGCTGCTGGGCTGCTGCTGGAGCTGCTGCTGGAGCTGCTGCTGGAGCTGCTGCTGGAGCTGCTGCTGGAGCTGCTGCTGGAGCTGCTGCTGGAGCTGCTGCTGGAGCTGCTGCTGGAGCTGCTGCTGGAGCTGCTGCTGGAGCTGCTGCTGGAGCTGCTGCTGGAGCTGCTGCTGGAGCTGCTGCTGGAGCTGCTGCTGGTTCTGGTGCTGCTGCTGCTGCTGCTGCTGCTGCTGCTGCTGCTGCTGCTGCTGCTGCTGCTGCTGCTGCTGCTGCTGCTGCTGCTGCTGCTGCTGCTTCTTTTCTTGATGCAATGGCACGCGTCTACAACCGTAGACCTTGCCAGTGATGCTTTTACATTGACCTTGCCATCAGACAGATGCTTGACGGGGGCAATCTGGCAAAGGCACTCTGAACAACAATCACTCTCCCAGGGTGGTCCAACCATCACATGTGTTTCCAGAAGACCGCAAAAAGCCCTTTGCGAATTATTTTTGCGCAACGCGGCGGAGCTTCAATCTCTGGCCCGGTGCTGGTGTTGGTGTTTGTGGCGGTGTTGGTGCTGGTGTGGTGCTGATGTTGGTTGTTGGTGTTGATGCTGGTGCCGATGTTGGTACCGATGTTGATGCTAGTGCTGGTGCTGGTGCTGGTGCTGGTGCTGGCGCTGGTTGGTTTTGGTGCTGGTGTTAGTGCTGGGGCTGGTGCTGGTGTGGTGCTGGTGTTGGCTTTGGTTGTTGACGACGATGCTGCGTGTCACTCTTCAAGGGGCTCTAGAGTTCCACCTGGTAGTAGATCCTTTTGCATGTTGCGTTCCGCTGTGATCTGCAGATTTCGCGTATGACATGCTGCGTTCCATGCGGGGGTTAAAATGGCGGAGGTCATGCGGGGTAGGTAGTTGCCCACTTAGAGGGGGGTGACTTCATGCATGTATTTGCACTCACTCCGCAGACTTGTTCACGCGGTGTGTCCAGTGCCGTTTTGCTTTGGCAGGCTGTGATGCACTGACTTTCACGGCCGAGTGTACATATGCTATATTGCTTGCGGTTTCCTTTCCCAAAGCGCCCATGAATTCTGACTAATTACGAAGCTCGAAGGCCATGACTTTGGCATCACTCTGTCGGATCCTTGCATAGGTCGAGGGATGGACGTGGTTCTGTTATGTTAAGTTTAGGTGGAGCTAAATTTCACAGACCGGGCTCGACAGGACTCCGTGTCGATACTGGCCTTTGAACTGATTGTGGCTGGCGTGGCCTTGGGTGCGGAAAACGGCACTGTGCCACGACTTTTGGAGGACCTGCAAATGCTGACAGCACATTGCAATTTGGTTGGTGGGTTGATGGGTTAGTTCGTTGGTGGGTGGGTGGGTGGGTGGGTGGGTGGGTGGGTGGGTGGGTGGGTTGGTTGGTTGGTTGGTTAGTTGGTTGGTTCGTCAGTGGGTTTGGGTTGGTGGGTTGGTTGGTGGGTGGGTTGGGGGGTTGCTTGCCTGGTTGGGTTGGGGGTTGGTTGGTGGGTGGGTTGGTGGGTTGCTTGCCTGGTTGGGTTGGGGGTTGGCCTGGTTTGGCTGGTTGGCTGTCTAGCTGGTTGGTTCTCTCTCAGCCACTTCGTTCTATAGGAACACACACTTCTCTTTTTCAAGGACAGTATCCTGCTGTGCTGCCTTTTTAGCGGGTCAATGGCCGGCGTTGATTGTTGTAGGTTCTCATAGGGGATTGTAGATGTGGTCACTCGTTGCTGGCACGTACCCAAGCTCGACGGTGCTATCGGGTCCGCATTCCAGGTAGCCTATCCCCCCTTCCTTCAGGGAGCCATGCCGGATCTGAGAAAACACGGAGTGCTTGTGTGCAGGACATCTGCACCCGCTACTTCGATGAGTGTGGCAGCGTATATGTGGTGTTAAACCTCGCTCAGCAGGCAGGCTACGTGCTGGGCCCACTGCTGGGCACGCTTATGGTGCGTGTCTTCGACTTCAAGACCATGTGTCGCTCCTTTGGCGGGGTGCCACCCAGCAGCAGCAGAGGGCACCGGAAACCTCCGTTGAGTGGAGTGCCCGTTGCGTGGGGAGGGTATCCCAGCCAAGCAAAGCCGGAGTCTCATTTATGGCTCTGGATGATTCTTACCAGACATTTCGCCTTGTACTGCGTGCTGCTAGGAAAGAAATTCTGACAATGACACGCTTGGTCGACAGTCGCGCTTCTTATGCTTATAATTATATGGATGGGTTGCCCGTTCTGAGCCCACCTTCATTCCCAGAATGTGCCTGTAACGTCCACTTTGGCCGGCTTTGCAATAGCACCTTTCAGGAGCAATAGTCCCATCGGGACCAGTTGCAGTTGCCACAGCCCGCAATGTTCTTTTGGCACAAACAGTGGAACTTTGTAGAATTATAAAAACCATGTCCCTATGCTTTGTGGAAGCTGGAGAACGATTCCCTGCATTAATGTCCCCAAGGTTATAGGCTAAAACAGCTATTGCGTGCGTGTGTGTGTGTGTGTGGTGTTGGCGGCCAACACCTTACTGAGAGAAACAGCTTTTATTTTTCCTCGGAGGTGTGCAAGCTTCAAGCCCTTCTGCAGAGTACTTTGCTTGTTGAGGCTTCCCGGCTCAGGCAAGTGCATAACTCAACTACAATGCAACGTTCGCAAGTCAGAACGCGGTGTTTCGCTTTGGCTTTTCCCTGCCGAGGTTTGTGGTCTACGCCATGTTTCACACCTTGGACTAAAAGCCTCGCAGTTTCACACGGCGGCCCCGGTAGCCGGCATGCCATGCCTCCGAGGTGGCCATGCAAGTGCCCTGTCAGGGTCGAGTGAGTGGAAAAAGGCACGCTTAGAGAGCGAGGCTGGAGCAAATATCCAACTGGCAGGCCTGGGTCTGCAAACAGGCAGTTGGCTTGCTTTAGAATAGAGGTTGAAGCGGGGGTTTTGCCTTTGCAGACCTGGTTCGCCATGTTTCGCCATCTTTCGCCCACGAGTGGCGCAGTTTGGCAGGAGCCCTTGGCCCTTCTTTGAGCTGGTCGCGCTTTGGGCGACCAGGCGCGAGCTGGGAAAGCCAGCCATCCAACAATCATTTGTCAGGCCTGGGAAACGGCATACCTTTTGGGAGTGCTGGCTTCCTGATTGATGTCAGTGGTTCGGCAGAACGCTTCGTATGTGAGCCACGGTATCCCGTGCGGCTTCAGAGCTAGCTTTGATGCTCTAGTAAGGTCCTAGTATACTCGGTATATTGCACTCTTACTTGTAGTGAGCTATTCCGTGCCGGGGTTGCCTTCCCAGCTAAGTTTCCACTCAAAGAGCGTCTAAGGTTCCCTGTAGCGTACTTTCTGAGATCCTTGAGTGCATGGTTGGACCCTGCAAAGAGCCATGGGGCGCTTATAGACAGACGTGCGGATGTCTTCATTGCATGTGTTGCACAACCGCTTTCATCACCTGGGTAGCCCCAGAGATCACTAAAGCGTTGAATGGAATACTAGAGTCACTTCCTTCATCCTGCCATTGGTGCATTCCGATGTTTGGTATTGTGATGCCATGTGTCAGGTTTGTTTGAAAATGCTGCCTTTCTCCGCCCCATGCTATTCTGCAACCAGGAGGCCGTTTCAAGCGGACAAAGTGGCCGCCAGCCCGCGTAACGCCTCAGGCGGCTGGAGACGGCGCCGGATGTGGCGGAGCTTCGCAGCCAGGCGGAGTGCGACGTTGGGGCGCTGGAGATCTTAGAGGCTTTGCCTTTGAGAGCCTCGGTTGGAGTGGAGCGAAAGGCGAGGGAAACTGCGCGCTTCTTTTCGTTGGAGTCCTGGCAAGTGGGACGACTGGGTGTCCAAAGTCTTCCAAACCCGGTGGCAAGCCCCCCTCATATCCACTCTACACGCATGTCTGTGCACTCTTTGCCTTTCAGACATACATTTTCCTCTATCCCTATTTGTAAAATGGCGCATGCGCATTGGCCACAGCACCTTCGTGCCGGGCAATCAATGATTTCGCCTTCCGCACCTTGAGGCGTGCATGCGCTTCAAGACCACGGCCCTGTGACTCAGCTGCCTGTCTGATGGAAGGACAGCAGGTTTAAGTTACGTGGCTCATAAATCTTGTGTACCTGGCTTCGCTTATGCCCTTCATAGGTGGAAACGAAAGGATTGCAGGGTCAACAATCAGCCTAACGTGGCGCCAACAACAGCGGTCTACCGAAGCATGATCACAGACGAGACAGGCAGTAAGCTGTCTCATTTTGGATGATCACCTTGCCTAGCCAAGATCGGCCGCGCGCTACCTTGCGAGCTTTCTGCTGGAGAGGGTGCACTTCCATCATTGGCCGTTTCTTCAAGACTTTTGTGGTCGCTTGCTGTGCCCTGGCTGACATGTTGCTTGGTCTTGCCGTGAAAATCTCATATTGCTGCTGGTGAAAGCTTGGCGATGTGCAAACAGCATGCAAAATTTGCTCCCCCCGTTGTCCCCTCCACCTCCTCCAGCGTGTTTTGTTATTTCTGGGGTTATTATTTGACGGTTTCTGAGGGTTATCAGACAATGGGCTTGTTTCCCTTTGACCCACCACTTAGGGGGTGACATTGACCATGGTACAATAATGAGGCCAATACTTGGGGCGCCAGGGTCAGAGAACTGCTGCCTGCTGAGGTGGTCGCTGCTTTTAGCAGTTCTCACTCTGACGCATGATGATCCACTGATATCGCCTGGCTATGCCCTGCGAATGCAGCAAATCTCTGTCTCGGACCTGTACCAGAAGTTTCGTGCCTGATATGGTGTTTGACTCGGGTTGGTTGGTTTTGATTGCTATTGGAGCGTTCCTTGTTTCGCTGGAATCATGGACCCCGGGCGGCTATGGGGGGAGCCCTGCAGAAGCCCAGGATAAGCCAAGGATAAACCCTTCATAAGGCGTTATGAAGGGGTTAATAAGGAATAGCCCCCCTTCCCCATAGCCCCCCTTAGGGCCAGCCCCCCTTGGGTCCATGATGAAACAAGTTCACAATCTGGACGATGATTTTGCCGATGTCGCCTATCCTTTAACCTCAGTCACCCAGTGACCTATTCACCTCTTGGCTTTCCTGCGTGCATTCCAGGGCTCAGGAGCTCGGATCGTGTCTTCTCGTGCGCCTCGATTTGCGGGGGGAATGCAGGAAACGTGCTGGTTCATAGATGAACTGCAACCTTTCCCCGGATCCACGGTGCTTCATGAACCTTTCCGGAATGCAACTGGTTTGACTGTTGCCATATCTACCCGACTGTACTTGCACAGCCGTGGCCGAGGCATGCAACGACTTTCATGGACATCTTGGCGGGAAGCCCCTGGAAGATCCTGCAGCTGCTGCCCACACTGGCCCAAAGGGAGAGGCAGCTCCGCCCAGACTTCCATATGGCCATCATCAGGCAGCAATCTGAGCACCTTGTCACAGGGAAGGGTTTCCATTGCCAAGCATGAAAGAAAGCTTTGAAACCTGCCTTGTAGGTCCCGCAGATAAACACTCTATTTTGAACATGAAGCCGTACTAAGCAGCCAAGCAGCCAAGTAGAGCAAAGCTGGATATTTGACCGCTCGCCAGGAGATTCAGTAGGATTCGTACCGCTTTGCCTGTATCAACTGCCGGCTGCAGTCTCATGTATACGCTGCTTTGTATCAATCGCTCTCCCTTTGTCTTTGAAAGCACCAAGGCTGTCGCACTCCGCGCTTTCGGATGGGTTCTCGCGTGCCCCCGCTTGCCGAGGCTCACCATGGACCGCCTTGCGCCCTTCACCGCTGTGCCGCCTGCAGAGGCCACGCAGTTGGAGAGGACGCTGCGGGTGGCCCACGACTTCCTCACGGTGCTGGGGGTGGCCCCTTGGCATGCAGCGCACGCGGTGCCACCAGCCAAGACCCGCTGTTTCGAATGCACCGGGTGTTTTTTTTTGGGGTGTTTGGATGGGCTCGGAATTGGAAGAGTGCTGATGCCTGAGCGCATTGCACATTAATCATTGCGAGGAGGCCCGCGACCATACCAAGAACACCATAAACAGCTCTGAAGGAACCCTGCAACCATTGAGGCCTTATTTGAGCCCAAGACTCTTAACAATCTCAAATGAGGTTATGGGGGGGAAGGTTGCTTGTCGGATATCTGACCAAGCTTTGGAGACGACTGCAGGGTACCGTCATACCTGACTGCTGCAAGCGACTTGCAGGCCTACATGCTGATCGCTGGCAGCTTGCTGGGTGCCATTCGGCACATGGACCGAATTCCATGGGATGACGACGTCGACCTTTGCGTGTCTTTGGCTGAACGATTCCTTTTTAAGGCTCCGATCCAATTCCATGCTTGCCAGTTCCCTGGTGCTGGTTTGCCGGTGCTCGCACGTGAGCTCCCATTTGCATTTGGGGTGCCCGGACATGTGCTGAGCAGCTTCTCCCATCCCATCCCTCTCCCATCGCACTGCCATCCTGCGCCCTCCGCCTGCGCTCCGCCTGCTGCGCCAGGTGGATGCGGCCCACGAGATGCAGCTGGTGAGCCTGGCCGCGGCCCTGGAGGCCAAGCGCAGCGGCCTGGCCCTGCCCCAGACGCTGAGCCTCCGCGCCAGGCCCGGCTTCGGTCGACCGACGCGACGTAGCGACGTAGCGACCGCGGGAGGCAGCTGGACCTTTTTTGAGTTGGTGCCCGGGAGGCGATAATATGCGGCTATATGGCTGTGGGTCAAAATCAAAGGGGACAGGTTTTTCGTCCTTGTCCATTCAGCAGGGGTTCCATTTTGGGGTTGCCCTATTTTTGACACCATATTTTGGGGCATGAAGGTTTGATTCTGGCACAGTCTCGTTTCCTCTTGCTCTGTTTTGTTGTCACTGGAAGGATTTAGAGCCGGGTTTACTTGTTTGTCAAACCTTCAACGTGAGAACGTATTTTATGTGTTCGCACATCCGCACTAATCCCTTCCCCCCAATGTTAAACGTCCTCCCCCCCATTAAAGTCGATACTCAATTTGGAATAGGCCAAATCTAAACCAGTGGCTCAGTAGCGAGCTTTTGGAAGGGGGGAGCCTATCTGGGAACAGAAGAGGATTGAAGAGGAAGGAACTGGGGCCCACCAACAGTTATTGGGGGGGGGCATGTATCTAGTAGGAGGAAGGTACTCCCGACTGGAGAGTTTTTCTTTCTGGCTACAAGCTGCAGCATGCAGTGAGCGGGACTTCGTAGTGGGGACTGCTCGAAGGCGTGCCTTGGCCCTGCTGAACGACCAAAAGCACCGCCTCGAGGCGCAAAGGGCTTCGCGGATTCCAGGGCACGAAACATCGTCCGGGTTGCTGGTTGAACATCTTGAAGGGGGAGGGAAACAAAGGCTTAAACGAGGGAGCCGAACAAGTTGACAGCTTCTTGCCCGTGAGGTGCGCTCCTCTCGAGCACTGACCTTCCGCATCCAGGAAGAAGGCGGCCAGGAGGCGTCTGTGGATGTGTGGCTTTGCTTCTAGGCAGAAGCCAGCAGGGGAGTTGTTTGGATGACACGAGTGTGCGTGCATGGCAGCCATCAACCCCCAAATGCTGCCAGATCATTACTTGGATCAGCTCTTAGTTTTGGCTTGAAAGTGATGCTGGAGGGCAAGTTGTTTCACTTTGTGTTTTTCCCTGCTGGCTTTTTGCGACCTTGTGTCCCAGCAACACCCTTAGCATCACCAGCAACACCCTCAGAATCATTGCCAAGATAGCGTGTGCGTGCGAAGAAATGATCCCCTACCACAACGAAACTAACCTCAAATCAACCCACAACTCACCTTAAAACAGCACTAAGCCACCCCCCCCTGAGACTTTGGGGGCGGCTAAAAGCGGAACTGCGAGGAGCCAGTCGAAACCCATCAGCCGAGCTAGCCAGCGAGGTCCAGCGCTGGGCCGATCGAGTCTTGACCTCAAGCAGTGTGCCCAGCCCCGAGCAACGCCATGTTTGTAGCCCAACTTCAACAAAATCCAGTTCCACGGCTGGCGCTCTGAAACCACATCCGCAACCAGCGCTAAACCATCCCTAAACCGCTGAAACCTACCCAGCCGACCTAAACCCCAGCCAACCTGACCACTTCAACCTAAACCCAGCCTGAACCCAATCGTAGTCCCGCCATATCCCGCCACAACCTGCCCAAAACCAACCTATAATCAGCCTAAACCAAGGCTTTGGTGAAGCTTGGGGGGGTTAAAATCGATGCTGGGGATGTTGACACATGTTGTCAGAAGTCACTTATCCCCCATCCCGGCAAAACAAAACAATGGTCAATGGGCTGCAACCTTGTTTGCTTCATGCTTCAGGCCACCCTGCTTCTGTGGTGAAGGCATGGTGTTTGTATATATTCCTTGCTTGGAGTTAATTATTTTATAAGATCCTTTGCGAGACTAATACAGGAAACGCTTGCGAGAACATGACATCCACACTTGAGTTTGATGCTGTCAGTCAGTCGCAATGGATTGGTTTTTGTATAAGGTTTGGTATTTTCTTATGGCTCGTATTGCAGCTCGGCAATACTAACCCTAGCTCAAAGCCAGCTCAGAGATCAGCCTGGAGTCCATAGCTCCACGCAGGGCAACAGAAGAGCTTCTAAAATCGTTTCAAATGTCGTAGCTATCGAGACTAGCTCAAAACAAGATCAGCACTTAGTATAGATCAGTGTGGGGTCCACGCAGGGAAGGAGCCACAGAAAACAAGTGCAACTAAGTCAAACCTAGCAATGCCCATTCAGTTCCATTCAATCTGCAGCACTAGTGTCACAGAACCCAGGTTGCAGTGACTTACTTTCAGCCTACTCGTGCCGCAACCCCTTGGTGTTGCAGAGCATGCGTCACAGCTGAGGCTACTTCATGGCAACCGCCAAGCACATGTCCGAGGATGTCATCCTGATGTCGCGGCTGCAACTTGTTTTCATTTGGCAAGTCTTTGATCCACTCCATGGGGCGCAAGGCGTACAACGCGCGTTCATTCTGACAGATGCAGAGGCAGAAGCTCCTTATCCTACATTCCTTGGCAGTGAGTTGTTTGTGTGTTTTGTTCACGTGTTGTTTCTTCATGTGGCAAAACGGCCGAATGGCCGTTTGGCTCAAGTTTTGCCCTCCCGTCAGGGGGGTCACGGAATCTCGTTGCGCCAGCCATAGTGCGGCTGACCGCTACGCCGTCGGGAAAAGGGTCCTGGCGTCGCTGTGGTTAGGCACTGGGAGGTGGGCGGAGGATCTCTGCGTGATCATCCTGGGCTTGGACACAAACTTCTCTTCTTCAACCTATTTCCTAACCTCCCCAAACTTGATCTTCATTAACTGTCACTCCCACAATCTGGTCACCGGCACCTTCTACATTGTGCTTTGGGACTGGGTTCTTTTGGTACTTCGTGAACCACGTGTACCTCTTTGATTCCCTGGGCTACTTCGTGTTCGCCCAAAACCGCAGGTTATGGATCCGGTTGCGGGACGTGACCCGCTACCTGCTCCCTCGCCTTCTTGTACGAGCAATGGCGTCCCCCGGAGCTTCACATCGTGGGCCGGGCTTCGTGGATGACGAGGCCAATGCCCTTCGCGGCAACGCCGCGCCTGCTGCCCCCGGCTTAGACAGCCGGCTGTGGCCCATTCCCCCGATGGTGGGCGCAGAGCCCAATCCCGGGGTGATCACGGACGATTGGATCCTTTCTCAGGTTGTGTTTGATGAGGATGCGGAGGCCCCTATCCCGGCGGCAGTGCTCCAGATCGAGGACGGACCCCCTCTAGAAGAGGCTGAGGTTCCTCCAAATCAGGTGCCCTCGTCGATTTCGCCTACTGTTCCGTTCGTGGCGCTCCAGATCGAAGACCGGGCTGCCCATCATGCTGCTCATCAGGAGCCGGCTCAATCTTGGTCCCTTACATGGGATCAGTTTGACCAGCTCCTCGGCAGTGGATCGCAGGCTACACCGCCTGATTTCGGTCGGCTCGACTTCGACTCGGGTGCCCCCATGTCGGTCGGGAATCTGGATTTTCAATCCCTTTTTGATGCTGATTGGAGATCTCAACCTTCCCGAATAGACAGATCTTTTGATGCCCTGCCTATGCATGAACCTACTCAGGGTTTTCCGCATGATGGAGAAAATGACCCCATTGAAGATTTCTCCCCTTCTCAAGTTGCAGGTTCGGCCCAACCCGAGGCGGGCAAACGGGCGATTGAGGATTGGCCGCAAATAGCTGGCCTTCCTCCTGTCTCAGGTTCATCCGACATTGACATCATTCACGATCACCCCAGTCCGGCGGATATGGACTTCATCCCTGATGCAGTATCATCTCACTTGTCAGGTACCCGCGACCGGAATGCGGACCGCTACAACGCTGGTCCTAATCCACCGCTTTCCTCAGGTACCCGAGGTCGGGACGCGAACCGCTACAACGCGGGCTCAAATCCGCCAAATCAAGCATCAGGTACTCATCGATCGGACGCGGGCCGCGAAATAGCAGGCCCAAATCCTTCATCCACTTCGTCAAGAAGCCATGCCGGTCTCTTCGCGGCCTTCAATCGGCATCAGACTCGGAAAGAGTCCGCCCCCGACGTCATCGACCTCGAGGAGCAGTCCAGCCACCGTACCAGTGATGGATCCGAGCAGGATACACCTGGTATTGGCTCTACTCCCTTCGACCTTCTCGACATTCCCTTCCATCAGCCACCCAGGAGAGGAAATGAAGATGATGAAACCATCCCTGGGATCCTCGATGTAATCGATGAGGCCGAGGTCACACCAGAGAGACGAACGACATCGCTCCCGCCGAGCCGCGTTGCCAAAGTACTTTCCCCTAAGCCATTCAATGATGACGTTGCTCAACGGCTTGATCTCACTCAACCTGATCCAGATCAAGCTCAACATCGCGGATCGTCATCGTTTGATAACATGTCGGGACAAACCGGCACTGACTCGCGAGCCACAAAGAGGAGCTCTGAGTCACCCGAAAGACGTGAAGCTGCCCTCCGATTGCGATCTAATCCCCCAGCTCATCACGATCCTGTTGACGTTCCTATCCACTCTGCGGGGTCTGGGCTCAGCTCCAATGCCCCGATGTCTGAGAAGGAGACTGATGACGGGATCAACTCTACGCCCAGGAACCGGAGACCTGGACTTAGCACTGTTGCCCCTGGGAATGCACTCCCGACAGGGAAGAAAATAGGCGTGGAGCTCATGACGCTGATAGTCGTCCTGCCCCGTCTGCGTCCACAAGTGGCGGCCATCCGGTTGCATCTGAGCTACAGCGACTGCTTCAGGTCAAGGGATGTAAGGCCGAAATCCAGGGATGCAGAACTGAGATTCGTTCATGCAGGGATGACATCAACGTTTGCGTCGGTGAAATCAAAAAGATCAATAACCGTGTTGATGCCTTCGAGAAGAAGGTTGAATCATCTTTTTCTGCCGTTGCCGGAACCCTCTCAAGACACGAGGCCAAGTTCCGTGATTTCCACGAGTGGGTCGCCCGAAGCGAGAAGGAGATGAATGAGCGTTTCAAGATGTATGATGAGAGATCCAACTCGATCGTCATATCCGCTGCTGAACTTCGCGAACAGGCCGAGTCACTTGAAAACGTCAAGGTCCAGCTCCTTAGGTTCTCTGAGATTGGGGCCCTTGAGGCTGAAGTTCGAAAAATCAAGGACGAAGTTGAGGCGAACTCTCGCAGTGTCATTGACATTGAGGGAACCATCTCAAGGGAAAGAACCATCCGTGGGAACGTTGAGACGCATATCCAGCAGCTCGTTCCTGCGACCGACCTGAAGCAGTTCAGTGATAGGATGTCCGGAGCCCTCAATGAGAACTCACAGAAACAGGAAGAGTTCAAGCTTCAATTGTCCCGTATTGCTAGGTGCGTCAAGGACCTTCATGATAAAAGCCTAGGCCCCTATCCGAGGGACATGCAAGAGCAATTTATGAAGCTTGTGTTGAGGGTCAATGAGATGAACATGCAGATCGCTGAATTGAGGGAACAACCTCCTGCTGCCTGCGCATCTTCAAGTGCTGGCGCTGCTTCGATCACCGGGACGGGGACATGGGAGAAATCTGGAGACACTGATCCCTTAACCCAGGGAAGGGCTCCTAGAGGTTCTCCTCCTCGTGATGCTCGCATCGTCAGCTCGGCGAGACCTCCTCCACCTCCACCTCCTTCAGGGCCACCCCCACCGTCACCATCAGCCCCCATCTTTGGCAGGGATCCCTCTAGAACGAGGGCCGTTGCTCGGGCTGCCGGCGCTGCCCCTGATAACCGGGCCAGGTGCGCTCATGAGGAGCCCGGGCATCCACAACATCGGGAACCTCGCTATCCATGCCGAAGCTGCGGCAAGTCAGTCTGCGAAGACTGCTTTGACCATGATTGTAACTCATGTTTCAAATGTAGCGATCAGTTTCCTAGATGCCGCGCATGCAGGGGAAGAGGGGGGAGACACGGACTTGTGACGTGTCTCATATGTAAGGATGAGTACTGCGATCAACACATCG